TATTGAGGATAAGATTAAATTGATAAAATCTAAGCCATCAAAAGTAAAAAGTCAGTCCCAAACAGTTAATCATTTTATATAACATGTATGATTATATACATGTTATATATCATAACATGTATTAATATAATATATTAAGAAATATTTAGATACTTCTAAAGAAAAAATCTTGTTTCTACTGGTTAAGGTTAGTATTGACAGTTTTGAGACTTTAATTACTTTTTCATAAACTAACCTAATAGAAAAGCACACTTGTTCTATTTAAATGAGAAGTTTTCTTTCCAAAATATTATGCAAATAAATAAAATACTATTCAATATAACTTGTTTGTTTTCTATCACAGAGTTTGTTCAATATCATTTACAAATAATAGTACATATTCCTTGCACATCGCAGAGGACAACAACTACCTAATCGCTCTCACGATCTGCTTGATCTTACGAAGTCAATTATTTTGAAAGTATCTTCATCTTCATCTATAAGTTAATGTATGCATATTTCATCAAAAGTAATAAATTGCTGAAAAATTGAAATAATCCATCGATTTGCAAAAGTTTTATAGAAAGCAAACTGAGTATACATACTTATATTATATATTTGACCTATAGATTTGTATTTTTTAATCGATAAAAAATAATAACTAAATAACTAACTAAACTAATAACTAACTAACTAAATTGTTATATAAAATCCCTTTTTCGGTTATGTGGTCAGTATCAAAATTGCAGTAAATTTGTAACTTTTTGTTAATTTTTGGAAGACTTCTAGGCGACTTTTGTATAATTGTTTTGCACAGCAAAAATCTTGCATAGTTTTGAGCGCCTGTTTAATGCACCCACACCAAAAATTTAAGCTCAAAAACTTCGTTACTTCGAATTAAAATTAAAGTTAAGCATTTTAATAATGAATTCTATAGAAAGTACTGTTTGAGTACTAAATTGCAACAACAAACATTTTAATTTATATTTAATTAAACGAGTTTTTGGTTGACCATACAGCTGTTTCGAGTATTGTTAAATATCCATCATCAGTGGTCTTGGAATTATTTCTTATATTCAATTATTCTTACATAATTATTTGTGAATCCAAGTACAAACTCTTGCCCTGCTAAATTCGAAGCACAGAGTCAGTGTTCATTAGCCAACTGACGCAACAGTGGTTGTTGTGTCAATTAATTTAAAATAAATTAGAATTTTTGTTGCAATTCAGTACTGTTTGAAATCTCTCTATTAAATACAATAGTTTTTATTGAGTAAAATAATAAAAAGGCGGTAGTGACCAATTATAACTCACGTTAAAATCAAATTTAAAAAAGTAACTTTAAAACTTAATACTCGTATTGAAGAAACTTCCATTAAGAAATATTTAGAAAAAAATTTAGTTGTCTTCACATGATTCACCATCAAAACTGTCTATTTCATTCACAAATTAGTTAAGTATATGATACATTATACAATTTTTCAAATTTACTATTTGTAAAACTAGTTTGTTTTTCTTAAAAATAATAGAATAACTGATCTCAGATTCGTTCAAGTTTCTTGAAATTTTAACAATTAATAGACAGTTACCGACACATGTCATTGCCAATAGAAATTCTCTTTACTAACACCAATTTTTAAAAAGTCATGTTTGCTTCGCATAGTATCATTTATAAGATGAGTTTTAACTTCTAAAAACCAAGGGCGTATTTTTCTTCATATTCAATTGAAGATCTTAAGTTAGTTCAATATGCAGCCAAGACTGTAATAAATAAATTTAATTCAAAAATCTAGGTATGTTAAAGATTTAAATTGAATATAAATAGCAAAGAATGTAAGCTGCAAACAACTTAGTGCTGACCTCTTAGCTTTTACTACATATTCCCAATAATTTTTTTTAACCATTCTTAATCCAGAAATGCAACATATACTTTTTACTTCAGCAAAATCTTCAGTTTAAATGACTATTGTGAAGATGCCAAACTGTTTAAACTTCTATATCCTTAATTATACATTTTAGACCAGTTGGTTTGTCAGTATGTTACTAATCGATTAACAAACTTCTTTTTAAGTTTGCATTTAATGTAATACAATTTCTTATCTCCCATTTCTAGAGCATTTGGAATTAAAATGGCTTTTATTATGCTGCTTATGCTGGCAAAACTTGATTCGTTGCAGCTTCAATCTACTATCTTCCTAGTAGTTCTTAAGCAGCGTTTTTTTTACTTTTGATAACAAATATAAGTAAGTATCTTTATTTTAATTATCCTCATTAAGGCATCCACAATGATATGTTGCATACATTGAAAATTGAAAATTGTCGAAATTCTCAAATTTATAGGTATAAGTAATACATAGGTATAAGCAGCTGAGAGTCTCGGGACAAATAACTTTTCGAATTCTTTATAAAATATTAAATAAATATAAAAAATAAATAAATATAATAAAATAAATTATTTAATAAATGTATTAATCATTTACATGTAGTTAAAATTGCTTATCGTTATTCGATTAAATCGATTCAATCAGGCAGTTGATTTATGACCTATTTTTCGCTAAGTTGGCGTTATATATTAAAATAAATATCAAGAACAGTAAACAAAAATATTTTTTTTTGTTAATATTATAATATCCGCATAAAATTTAATGTATAAATAAATAAATAGCCATAAGTTAACTTCAACTGATTGATATAGATTATACCATTTTTAGTACATAAAATAAAAATGGTTCTCTATTTATGTCAATTAACAAAACTGTAGATGAGTCAACATTCTTAAGTTTTTAGAAAAATTATTTATATTTGTTATGTCCAAACACGTTCAGTTTTCTTAATTTTGATATTGTCAATAGCATGATCTTCATTATGGGTGGTCTTCATTATGTCTCTCAACTATCATATCCTTCATATCCTTCATATCCTTGGTGGCTGGTCTCTCCACCGAAGATGCAGGCGTCCATTGCCATTTTTTTCACCAGTTGGTAATAAATCAAATACCTTTCTAGCTGGACCAGTTTCTTCTATTTGGATGACTTTTCATTTAAAGGTACTGAAAATATAAAAAAAGGGATGTGTTTTGGAAGCAAAAATCGGTTTGATTTTATATATTACACATACGTCAATGTTTCAACTTTAAAAATTTATAATCAGGAACTACTAAGCTTTTGCTTAACAAATTCCTTTTGTGGCTGTCGATATTTAAGCTGAGTAAGCTGAGCTACAATTTAAATGATATTGACAACATCAAATTTGTAAAATTAGATAGAAAAATATTTTCTTCAAATAAGTTTCAACTTTCTGACTGAACTAAAATAAACGGAATATAATAAATATTTTTCAAATTTAAATATAGCTTATGAATTTTCATTTTAAATTAAGTACAAAAATCAGCGCTATACTTTCTTCATCTTACAAATTGAATGTATAAGATGTTTTGTTTAAAAATTTAATATTTTTTTTTTAATATTCAAATATTTTTTGTTCATAAGAGGAATAAAACTTTAAGCAAAAAGTCCATCAGTAGGCTTAGTCAATTAATCAGTATTAAATCTAAATAAGAATAAGAACTCATACAGCTGCTACTTTTGTAGTTTCATTCAAAGATTTCATAGAATTTTCAGAATAATTAATATTTTGTTGTTATAATTGTGACAGTAGAGACTCATATTTCATCGTTACATATAACATATTAAATATATTTACTCATATATTAGGTTTAATAGGATGTTTGTGAAACTGTCTATCATTCAATATTAGATACAATAATATTAAATAAAAGAGTATCTTTGATAGTATATATACTACATAATTCAAATAAATTACATCGACATAACTTATACACTTCCTTTTGTTATACTTTATGGGTGTGTCGCGTATAGCAAAGCTGCCGACTCTACTATGCAAAAGCTACAAGTTGCTCAAAGTCAGGTTCTCCGAAGACTCTTCAAAGTGCCTTAATACAATCTCATAAACGACATGCTAAGAGACCTTAGAATAGACCCGATCAAAAAATACAGAAAGGACAGCGCCCTGAAGTTATATGCGAAAACTAACAGGCTATCCTACTTAGCACTATCTAAACTTAGAGTAATCACTCTCCGCGAAGCTTATAAGGAATACATAAACTAGTCAATGAGATGGGTGGGATCCTGTATTACCCCCATCTATCAAAGAGTAAAAGTGCCCAGTTGCGCTGACTCGAAAAAAGGATCAACATACATACTTCAATAATTTACACTCATTTGTTTTTGTTAAAAACACTGATTATTCACATTTATTAAGTATATATATATATATTTGTATATATATATGTATAAAAAATATTTACTAAAATTAATATAATATTTAATATATAATTTATTGTTACAATCTTTTCAGTTGCTTTTTCGGAGCTTTTAATAAATAAAAATTAACTTATTATTTATATAATGAAATAAATTATGAAATAAATAAATAAATAGAGTAATAAATAATTAAAACTAGTATTTTGTTTCATTTTATATAAAAAGCAGAAGATAAATGAGGAATTAAATGAAAAGAAAGAAAGAAATGAAGCAAAGAACAAATCAGGAAGTAAAAGTGAAGAAAACGGAAGAATGTTTTTATTAAAAAAATAACAGTTTTCAATCTAATTTACAACGTGAAAACTATCTGCTAACAGCAACTAATTGAGTTGCCCAATAAAGATAGAATAGTGAGGAGAATAGTAAGCATGAGATGGGTAAGAAATATAAAAACTAAATTAAAGCCGGCAAGACTATAATGAAGTCAAAGATAGAAGCTAATAGCGTGCATAATAAGCAAAGCACCAAGCACCAAGACTAAGCACTTAGAGGAGTGCGAAGAACTGTGTGGAAAGGCGTTGCACCTAATAGATCAATAACAGTAAATGCAATACTGCAAGAAGACACGATCTTAACAGTAAACGGTTTATGCAAAAATATGGTTGATTATGGAAATATATAAATGCAGAAGACAAATGAAAAATACTAAAAACTATTAGAATGAAAATAGTAGCAACTAGTAAGTACAATTTATGAAGCACACATACATAATTACAAAATTTCATAAAAAAATAAAGTTCAACTTTTTATGTGAAGATCTTGCCGTAGCTGTTGTCAGTAACTATGTCGTTGCAATTTGTTGAAAGAAAAATTATCTACAAGATAATTTGCTCATGATCGATTTTTAATCATTTTTCATATTTGTTGTAAATTTTATAGTAATTTAACTTTTACTGCATTTATGACTTTTGCACTTGTTGCAGTTGTAATTGCTGCGGCTGGTATTGTTGCTGCTGCTGCTGTGTCTGCTGCTGCTGTTGCTGTTGCTGTTGTTGTACTTTTCCCTGCTGTTTTTGTAGCTGTTGTTGTTGCTTTAGTTGTGATTGTTGTGGGTAAACTAAATGATTTGGTTGCCTGCTGTAACTGCGGTACGCCAATTCTTGTGCTTCATTGAATGAACGTCGATCGTAACCACCGCCACCACCAGAGGACCATCCACCTCCGCCTCCGCTGGATGACCAACTCGTACCACCACCACCACCACTAGAGCCACCTCGTCCAGCCATTAGTTTCTTCAAACCCATTATACCAGCCAGTAAAAGTGCAATTTTCGATATGATTAAAGCCTTGCCAGCAAGTATATAAAGCATGCCCATTGCCATTGGTATCATGCCCATCATTTTCATTGCCATGCCCATCATCATCATGCCCATCATTTTCTTCATTTTGCCACGACCTAAAATAATAATAAAAAAAATATATGAAACAATCAGATATAAATTGCACTTGTGAAAGTTTTTAAAAGTAAAATACAGTTGAGTTGAGTTATAAAAAAAAAATTATAAACATAAGATTTTCAAATATTATTTTTAACACTTTTGTTGAAAATGAACCACCATAACATGCCCTAAATTAGTTCATTAAAATTTATTCAATTTAAAAAAATATTTAATATTTCTAAAATTTATATTCAATTTAACTTAACTGCTTAAGGGGAATAAATGTTAATGAAAAATTTATGTTATGTTAGATCCAGTAAAAGATATATATAAATAAACAGCCAATGTTCTTAACATTATAAGTGAAATTCATAAACTTAAGATTCATATTGCTGACGTGTAAGTTTGTAAAATTTTGCGAAAGTATATAAAAATGTTGTATTAATAATAAGCTATAAAATTGATTTATACATTATAGTGCTTAATTGAAAAATATTTTTATCAGAATTTATATTGCTGAAGCGTAACATAGAAAACTATCACTGCAATTCAGTTCAAAAGTCAGACTTTAAGAAACTACGGTCCGCGAAGACTCTTAAGCTATTGTTTATCCCAAAAAGTAGCCAATATCAATTTGTTGGCTTGGGCATGCTTAACTATAGCAACAGAACAAAACTTAGAAACTCAAATGTGGCTGTGCAGGACTCTTAGTTAGTCAACTCTTAGTTGACTAAATAGCAGTATTGCGCTAAAGGCACTGAGGTAGTACTATAAGTTCTCAAGATGACGCAATGCAACAGTCAAAACTTGAAGGAGAATAGTGGAACACTATTCTAGTGGAAGTTAATTTCATAATAAAATTGTATTTTAATTATTAACAGACACTATACCTTGAACAGAACCACACATATACTTTGATGAATATAAACAAACGTATTTATATTAAAAGAAACAAAGTCCAATAATCGGTTTTGAAAAACTTTACATTAATTTATAACTTTTTGTTGATATTACGTGTTTTGTTGAGCTATTCTTATTCTTCTTATTCTTACACTCTTTATATCCAATATATAATCTTTTGGTTTCTTATAAATTTATTTGGGCACAATAGTCCCTACGGTCGCAGTGTCACATCTCTTAACAATAATAATATAAATTGTTTCATATAAAATAAATAAATTTTAAGAAACGACATTATTAGAAATGTTAATTAAAATGTTTTAAAAGGAAATTGTTAAAATTAATCGATAATACTCTTTTTATAATGCGTTATGATTGAAGACTCACGTGTAGTTGTTTTTTTACATGGAGGATTTTATATTTTAAATCACTCCTAAAATATTATACCATTTTACACTCTTGCTGATCAGATTGTAAAAAAAAACCATGTTAACATCTCTAAGAAAAGTTACTGTTAAATATTACATATTCTTTAAAAACTTAACAGACTTGTGTTAATTGATTTTTTATTTATTGTATTACTCCCATGTTTTTATTAAATACATATACATTTATTTATTATATTAAATTGTTATTATTAAAATTAATTAATTATTTTTTTATTAATTTTATTTTTTAATATGAATTTGAAATAAAGTCGAATTTAAATACGCAAAAAGTGGCGGCCAAGTAGAAGTAGCATATATAACTAACACTAATGTAATTGGGGAAGACATACTTGTGAGCATGCCAAACTTATCCCATGCAACTTTTCAAAGTAATTTTATTGTTTAACAGCGAAAATCATAAAGTCATTATGTTAAGTCACAACATAATTACAACACTTCAAACTAGTTCCAACTAAGAACCTTATTTATTAGTGTTAATTGATTATTAAAATCAGTTTAAGTGCGTCGGTAGCGGAACGCGTAAGCTTAAAACGTGGCTCGGGAGTGAAAACTGATTAATTATTAAATTTAAAACAATATATTACAAAAACAAATGGATGGAGAAAATTGTTGAAATAAATCTTAATAAAAGGCTTTACATGTTGATTATATATGTTATGGAAAATGTGCATTAAATTTGATAAAAAAATTTGTAAAAATATTGAAAAAACTACAAAATTTAATTTCGTATAAAATATTAGATGTAAAAGTTATTATTGCAAAGTATAGCTATAATAAATTTAATAAAATAAATGGCAATTAATTATTATTAAAAAAGTATTGTCTTAATTATTATTATTAATAAAGAAATCTTTAAATTTTAAATTGTAATAAAAGTGAATTAGTAAAAAAATAATAAAAGTACGAAAAAATGTGTATAAGTGAGAAATTGTAAATATAATAGTAAATAGTAAATATATAATATAAATAATAAAATATAGTTAATTTAAAAAAATGTTGCTTCTTAGAAATAAAATAAAATAAAATTTTTTTTTTTTTATATTTTTATATGTAACATATAAAATATTGTATTAAATTTTTATTTTCTTTGTATGTTCATGCTAATATCTTAAAAGTTATATGATACTGAAAAATAAATTATGATGAAATTTTAAATTTTAAATTTAGTTATGCCAAAATAAATATTTATTAACAATAAAAAAATAATATTTAATTAATAAAAAAAAAAAAATTATTGAAATGTTGTCTTAGTTTAGATATATAAAAATAGCTACCAAATATAAAATAAAATAGTACTTTAAAAAAGTTATTTTTAAAAATTATTTTATTATAAGAAGTGTTTTATTTAAATATATGTAAAAATATGTAAAATAAAAATAAATAACATATACGAAAAAATAAATTATATAAAATAATATATTAAACATATACACATATATATAAAAATAAATTAATAATAACTGCTATTTAATATATAATTTAAATAATAAATAAAAACAGAATAGCCCATTCAATTTTGCACATTAAATTATTACACAATCGTCCGCTAAACATCGCGTTCGTAAATTCTCGTCCGTTATTAAATTACAAAAACAATTTATATTGTGTAGGCGATGTTAATACAAAATGGTAAGTCCAGCATTTAAAATATATGCATTAAATACATAATACATTACATTAAGGTGTAAGAAGAAGATAATTGTATACAGAAAAAAAACTCATTTTCAAAAGCTTTACCGTTAACAGAAACGCTATATCATATCAAATTATGAATTTGATATGCACAGAAAATACAGTATTGTTGTCACGCATATGGTAAACGCTTTCCTTTCTTTAACAATAACAAATTTTATTGCAGAATTTAAAATTAGAAGCATCATAACAAAAATAATTTATTTTCGTTTTTTATATTCTCTTTTCTTGGTTCGTCACACTCACCTCGACAACAAAAGCAACCATCATAAAATGACAACAACAAATTTTACTTATATTAAATTAACATACGAGTAATTGTTTATGTTAAGCTTCAGATGAAAATTATTTGATACAAAGCAATAAGTTTTTAACATGTGTTCGGCACTGCATTTGTTGTTGGTGGTAGCTTCGTACAGTTTTGTGTACTGATGACGTTTAATTATAAGCTCAATTCGAACTAATATTTTTATTTGTGGCTATATTTTGTTAGTTAAGGCTGTTATTAACCAAATATGCATATTGATTATATTTGGTTTTTGAAGAAAAATAAGAGAGTTTATGTTCCTATTTTATTTTGAAAAATAATAAATAATTGAGCATTAACTGAAGACTATCGCGTCTTATATTACTTGTTTGATTGTGATTAAGTGTCTACATATATGTAATCTAATTAATTTTGTAATAATAATTAATTACTTAATAATTAAGAACTATTAATTTTAGTAGTTCGTGAAATATCAGGATGGCATTATTATGTGAGTTTTTCAAAGTCTCTTCGGAATCGGTTGTCATTAGTTTGTGTAGATCAATGAATGAATACTAGAGTTGTTTATAGTAACAGCAAAAAAGAGACCAAATTTAATTTCAGGAAAGTTTAAAGTTATCCAACATTAACTTCTATAACTCCTTAATTTTTCTTAGAATGTAAAAAGTGTCACAGTATCGTTGAAACCAGAAGCCTTCAAGGCAGGACCACCCATTCATATGAAAATTTCTAGTTTTTCATGGTCCTCCGCTGGGCTCTAGCGAAACATACATAAGTCTTATGATGTAGCACTATGTAAACATTTTGAACTGACCGATTTATAATATATACACTTATAAAAAATTTATTAATGCTGTTCAAATATTAAGCTTAGTGTTATAATTTCTCAAATATTATTTACAAAAACGCAGTGTTAATCTACAGATAAATAAGAGTTGTTCTATAGAAAAAAGGACCTAGTGAAAAAACCATGTATTATGGACAGGCATTCCTATTTTGGACTAAATAACAATAATTTTTAAATGTGACGATAACAAGATTTAAATATTTTACACTGAACATGTTCTTTGTTCTATAGATAAAAATAACCTTTTAAAACATGACTTTTTTTATTGCGAATAAGTGTCCAGGAGTTTTTTGTGTACCAATGTGAAAAATTTCTAATTAATTATTTAATAAATAATTAAATAATTAATAAACGCTGTTTAGTTGTAAATCATGGGGTGATATATAATAAAAGAAGAGGAGGTGTCAAATTTACAGATTAGGTATTAGCTGCTTAAGCAGTATCCTATAGATAAATGGACCTATTAAAAAATTATTTTATTATTATTTATTTATTATTTTATTGCGAATAATGTTTTTTTTATTTCGATATGGTATTACTGTAACTTTAGTTACAGAAACACTTATATTTATATATACCTTGACTTATGCAAGTCAATAACAGAAACGACAAAATGTGAATAGAATGAACTCAGATTAATCATTGGTTTCTTTTTCTTATTATTATAACTAATTTTGCTGCGACTAAAGGACTAAAGGCCCTATAAATAATTTATAAATAAACAGAGTTTATTTGGAAAAAGGTTTTAAAAATTATTCTTCTTATAATTATTATTTAGTTTTCATTGAATTGCAAAAGGTGTCGGTATTCAAAACCAAGAGACATTACAGATAAGTCTATTAAAAGCTTTAGTTTGCCCAG